GAGAGAGAGAGGAGAAGAAGAAGAAGAGGAGGAGAAGGAGGAAGAGGAGGAAGAGAAAAGAAAAGGGAAATTAAAATACATTAAGGTTCTTAGGGTTCTGTTTTTCTGGAAAACCCTGTCTGTTCTTAAACTCATGATCTTCCTGCCTCAGCCTCCTCCTTAGTTTCTGGGGTGATAGGAGAAAGCCACCAGTTCCAGTGAACCTTGACCAAAATAGCCTCCAACCCTGACTTCCAAACAAACTTTGACCCTCTCCATCCTCCCTGAACCCAGCTGTCCATTTCACTCATGCCTTGAGACTATTTCAACTGTCCAGCAAAAGCAGCCAGATCCTGAGCAACACAGGGAGGGCATCTGTCCCTTTAACACTCAAAAGACCCACCGTGGGGCAGGAGGGTGCCTGACCCAGCCCTGCTCTGGGAGGTCAGTTCACACAGCTACCAGACAGGGAGAAGCCATGCTCACAAGGGTAACTTTTCCAGGGTGAGACTAATTCACTGAACTCTGGATTTGGAAGCTCTGAGAGTTTCCCAAATGTTGGAAATCAAATGTGATCCTATCATCCACCCCACACCCCCAACATCAAACCCCACGGGCTGCCAAGTGTAGTAGTGCGGGCCTGTAATCCCAGCATTTGGGAAGTGGAGGCGGCGGAAAGAGTTCAGAGTTAGGGGCTGGAGAGATGGCTCAGCCAGTTAAGAGCACTGGTTGCTCTTCCAGAGAGAGGTCTTGCGTTCAATTCCCAGCAACCACAAGGTGTTCACAACCATCTATAATGGGATGTGATGCCCTCTTCTGGTGTGCAGATACGTGAAGACAGAAGAGTTCAAGGCCAGCCTGGTCCAGGACTGCCACGGCTACACAGAGGAACCTTGTCTCGAAAAACAAAGCAAAAAAGTTCATAGGTTCAGAGTTATCTTCATCTTTGGTTACAAAGAGAGTTCTAGACCAGGCATAGTTAAAATTTCAGCCTCACAAGACTTCCCGGATTTAGGTATCACTCCAAGGTCCTTGGATGTTGCTTCTAGCCAACTGGCTATAAATTCAATTTCTAACAGTCTCCCAAATTCAAGCTCAATAATTCAAAAAAAGTGGCTTTCACGACTCCTCCGGGAAGCACTTACTGCAGGGGTGACCCCCGCCAGGTGGCGCAGGGAGAGCATCTCCACATCTCATTCTCTCGGAGCAGCATGGATGTGGTGCCTGTTGGGCGCTGTGCTGGACCGCGGACTTCCAGGGTTTTGAAGGACAGCGCGAGTAGCAGAGGAACTGTCTTTGCTGCCCTCTGCTGGTCACCAGTGGAACTGCCAGGGACCGCCTCCTGAGGCATTCCGCGGTGATTTTTTGATTTTCCTGATTCCTCTGGGAGGAGTACCCTCAGGACCCCGAAATCTGCATCTTTTAGAGGTGCAGGGATGACCTTGAGCCCTCAAAACCCCAGCGGTTAGACGTGCTTTTATGTCTCAGTGTTCCTCCAGGACCATCCCACACTAGGATGGTATGCTAAGGGGTAGGGGGTAGGTTGTGGGGCGAGGGGTACACATTCCCTGCTACCAAACCGCCATTCTGGTTTCAAAGCTACATCATAGCTGTGCCAATATTCGTCCCTCGGGTCTGCTTCCAGGGACATACCTGCTCTGTAGTCACCGGTCCCTATTGACTAGGGTAGAGGGGATGCATAACAGAATTGGGGCAGATCACCCTTAACCTTTGCTGGGCTGCACATAGCCTTTCATGGAGACACTGGCCTTTTGCATTAACACTTTATGAGTGGCTCTTTGCCTTTACCTCCACCTTGCCGTTCAACTCACAATGGGGAGTAAACACAAGATTAGTCTATTGGTGGGCAAACTTTCTCCTAATTGCATGGTTATTTTCAGATGTATTTATTGAGTGAAAGAGGAGTTAGGCCTAAGAAATTAAGAATACTGAGTTCTGTATTCTGGTGGGTTATATGCCAGCTCACAAAACTAAACCATATATCTTATACCACGTGAGCTTTGTTTTACTTTTCTGCATCAGAACTCAGCTTTAACAGTATCTGAATGTATTTCTGTGTTTGTCCTAAGGAATAATGGACAAGAGAAAAGAACTCTTGAGTCAGGTTTTCTGTAAAACTTGTAAGTGTTCAAGTTTTGCAAACTTCCCTCTATATGGATACCAGCTACTAAGGATTATGCATCTAGAGAAACTTAAAACTTAGTCGGCATGGTGGCACACATCGATAATCTCAGCCTGGTTCTACAGAGCGAGTTCCCAGGACAACAAGGGATACACAGAGAAACCTTGTCTCGGAAAAACAAAACAAAACAAACAAACAAAAAACAAAAACAAAAAACAAAAAAACCCTGGCAGGTGGGGTACCAGAGAGTTGGCACAGCAATAAAGAACACTAGCTGTCCTTCTAGACAACCTGGGTTCAAACCCAGCATCAACATGGCAGTTTACAACCATCTCTAGCCTCAGGAGATCCAACGCCCTCTTCTGGCCGCTGACGACACTGCACACACATGGTACAGATACATGCAGGTAAAACACCCAAGCACATAAAAGATTTTTTTTTCAGTTAATAAAATTGGCGGGTGCTGTGTTTCACAGTTTCTAAATTTATATAAGTTTCCTCTAGGAAGAGTTCTCCTTTGTAACTGGGTCAAAATATGACAGGTTCCAAACTCTCTTAATCTTCAAATGTGTTTTACTTGTGCTAAAATAAACTTCAAACATATAAAACTGTGAATAATAAAATATGAGAAAAGTGCTCGGGAGCGGTTCAGCTCCACAGGAGAGCAAGCCACCACAGCTGCCCGGAGCTGGGAGCCCCTCTGTGGTCAGGGCCTCCCTCCTGTCACCCAGGACCTGTCTTCCATATATTCCCAGCAAGCACTGGGCCTTACTTAGCCCAAGATGTATCCGCTATTTTCCCCCTTTTTTCTTTTGGTGTTTTGAAACGGTCTCTGCCCTCACCCCACTCCCACCCCCTCTCTCTCCTAGGCTGGCCTCAAACTCGGGATCATCCTCTTGCTTAAGATCCCCCGGGTGCAGGCATCACAGGAATACACACCACCCAGTCGGGCTTGCACTGGATTTCCCGGTAAACCATCCCCGGGTCATCGCCTGCCCTGGGGCCAGGGAGGCTTGGTTGCAGACATTCCCTAGCTCTGTATCTGCCCCACCCAAGCTTTTAGTTGTCAGTGAGGACACCATGTGTGGAGCTCTTCAAGACATCTGCCCAACCTCCATCGGTTGGGCGGCACCACAGCAAAAAGAAAAAGGCCCGGTCCTTCCGCGGTGTGGACCCACGTGTGTCTTCACTTTCCCAGGAATTCCTGATAAAAGGGGACCCAAGGCTGCTAAACATCCACCTGAGCCCTGGATGTCGGCGCTGAGGTCCCTCAGAGCTGACAGCCCTTCCTTGATAGCGACATTTTCTTCTTCTCCACATTGAAGTATAATGGAGCCTAGAAGAGAGCTTGAGGAACTTTTTCATTATCTTAATGTCACCCGAGTGGTAGTTTTTCAGCTTTGTGTTTAGGAAACCCACCCAGGACTTGGGTGTAGCTGAGCATTTGGCCAGCATTTTGGGGGATGTTGGGGGCTTGGGCAGGACCTGAAGCAGAAAGAGGGGTAAGGAGAGATGGGGAAGAGAGGAGGCAAACCCAGAGGGGATCTTACAGAAACAGGAAGGTGTTTCAGGCCTGCAGAACCTCTCAAGCCTTAACCAAGGGGTTTTGCTACAGGAGAGCTTCCCTACACTTCAGGAAAAACCTAAAATGTTGGTGCTAAAATGGAGATTCCACAGCTGCTTTGGAGAGATAATGTGGCAGCGGGACACACACACACACACACACACACACACACACACACACACACAGACTGCCAATCTTTTATCATACTGTTGCATACTTTTTAAAATTCCAAGCATAGGGGTTGGGACTGTACCTCAGTTAATAGAGTGCTTGCCTATCATACCGGAAGCCCTGGATTCAATCTCCAGCTTTGCATAAACCTAGTGAGTTGGCACAGGCCTGTAATCCCAGCACTAGACGGGGAGGCAAGAGGATCAGAAGTTCAAAGTCACCACTAATGAATTTGAGGCCAGCCTTGGCTAGTAACGGCCATTTTTTAAAAACTGGTTCCAGTGGATCCCATGCCTTCTTCTGACCTCCTCAGGCACCAGGCACAAACATGGTACATATGCATATAAGAAGCAAAACATTCAGATAATTAAAATAAATAAATCTAAAAAACTAAAAAGCAAAAACATTAAAATCATAGCAATAAATAAAGTAAAAAATAAAACACAAATAAGAAGTGCAATTTAGGTTGGGTGGATCACACCTTGGTAAACCAACCTTCCTCCATCTTAGGCTTGAAAGCTATCTTATAGTAAACACAAACTAGATTCATTCCTGCTTACGATTAAACCTCTGTTTCTGGAAGATTGGGCTATGGAATCTTAACTACAAATGGTTCTGTACTGCCTGTTCCAGGAACAGAAACCATGCCTTTGTTTCCAAAGGTTGTTATGACCACGTCGTTATACCACTGCCTTATTTAGGGTTTTTATTGCCATGAAGAGACACCATGACCACAGCAACTCTTATAAAATACTTAACTGGGGTTACTCTCTTACAGTTTCAGGGTTCCATCCATTATCATCATGGCAAGGAGCATGGCAGTATGAAAATGTGGTACTGACTACATATTGGTTTGCAGGCAACAGGAAGTCAAATCCATCCCGATGGGGACACACTTCCTCCAACAAGCACACACCTAGTCCAACAAAGCCACACCTCCTAATAGTGCCACTCTCTGAGATGATGGAAGCCAATTACATCCAAACTACCACGACTACCTTGTTATGTGTTATGCCCACCTTGCAACCATGTCTTTGTTTCAGGAGGTTATTATGACCAACTTGCAATACTTTCGTTCTGCCTCTGTAACCCCACCTATTTGCCTGCCAATGCCCCATTTGGAAATTCCTGAGCTATAAAAACCCATATCTTCCGCCTGTCCAAGGCTGATCTCTTGAACTCCACCTTTAGGGAGACACAGCCTATGTACATGAATTTAAAAAGCTTGCTTTGATTGTTTGTTTCGATTAATTTGGCATGATTTGGGTTGGTGGTCTTTCTCTTCACATCTGTGGGACTAACAGCCTTTAATCCCAGCACTTGGGAGGCAGAGACAGGTGAATCTCTGAGTTGGAGGCTAGCCTGGTCTACAGAGTTAGTTCCAGGACAGCCAGGGCTACAAGAGAAACCTTGTCTCAAAGAACCAAAAGAAAAGAAAAGAAAAGAAAAGCACTTTAAATAAAATGGAGGGTCTCCCTAAGCAACCCAAGTAGGTATGGCACTCAGAGCCAGGATTATAGGTGTGTGACATCATGTGTGCCTTAGGAAACACATTTATTAGAACTATACTACACACATGTATTTGCTGGTGTGTGCCAGGGATAGAAAACACTTCAGGAAGCCACTGGGGTGGGGTGAGGAGCCACCTGTAGTGGGAACTTTGCAGAGCATTCTAAAACTTAAAGACTCCAATTTCTCATGCACCCTTTTCTCAGGGTGTTGCCAAATACCATTATTATTCTGAATACCTTTTAAAGTATGTGTGCCTGTTTGGGGTACTTTCAAATACAAATTTCGCCATTTTCTTGGCGATTCAGGCTGACTCACACTCTAAACCTAGAGAGCTTTTCAAAGGTAAATGAAAGGCTTGCTTTCTGATAAGGGCGACCTCTGGAGAGCCTCCGAATAAAATTGTGCAGGGTGGGAGGGTCTCCCGTTCTCAGCAACACTTGCAAACATTAAGTGCAAAAGAAAAAATGCACACGCAGGCACCTGCTCTACCCATCCTGAGCAGTGTTCTGCTAGGCAGGCAACCATCCAGAAACACTGACCCGAGGAGACTTCTCTTCAGGGCACACTGGAATCAGCAAGCTATCTGTCCCCTCCCTAAAGCATAGGAGCCCACTGAGTTGTATGTAGATCGGATCTAGAGCATCCTTCAGCAAAGGAAGTGAGTATGTGTGAGAACCTCCTGGAGATCTTACCTCTCTTTTGCTCTACCTACTCACGTACTTGACACCAAACATTGGAAATCAAGTCATACTCCTTTGAAATGTAGTTCTGTCTACTTTCTATTTTATTTTGTTTGTGGAGGTTTTTTTTTTTTTTTTTTTTTTTTTTTTTTTTTTTTTTTTTTTTTTTTAACACATCCCCCTGGAACTACATAAACCTTACTGGCCTAGAACCTGCAGCAATTCTGCTTCTGCCCCCCAAGTGTGGAACTAGAGGCATGTAGCACCACACCCAGCTTTAAAGGTTACTGAAACTAAAGAACAATTTTTGTCTATTATTGAGCTTATCTATTTTGTCTGAGGGCAAGAGACAGAAGGCAGAAAGAGGCCAGAGTCTGACCTCAACAGATCAGAATGTGTTTATTAGCACACACAGCGAGGGATAGCCTCTTCCAAAGGAAATGAAGGGTTCTGTGTAGGGAAAAGGTTAACTGGGACCCTCTATGGAGGTGGTGGGGGTCTTGGGAGTTGATTCAACTTCAGGGAGCTACTTGTAGGTCTGTAGTCTCCCCTTCCTGAAATTGTTTGCCCAAGGCAAGACAGAGCATCATGGGAGACAGGCTGTCTCAGCAGACATCCCTTTCTGTACTGACCAATAGTGATTGAGCAAGGTCAGCTGTAATCTCACAGGAATTCTGTTTGTGAAACTGAGGCACTCTATCAGATGATGTTTTTATGGTAACTGAACAAAGAAACCCATATGCCGGGCTGTGGTGGCCCACACCTTTAATCCCAGCACTCAGGAGGCAGAGCCAGGTGGATCTCTGTGAGTTCCAGGCCAACCTGATCTACAAAGTGAGTTCCAGGACAGCCTCCAAAGCTACACAGAGAAACCCTGTCTTGAAAAACAAAACAAAACAAAAAAACAAAGAGAGCCATAAATCAAGGTGCTTTCAAATACCCTGGTGAAAACAGAAAGGGACAGTCACAGCAGAGCAGTCTCAGGGACAGGCTTCAGCTGCTAGCTGATGACACCCTGAGCTTTTTGTTAATGCATTCAGAAAGGTTTTATTGGAGAAAGGTTTTATCAGTTGTCCGTACAGAGAGGTGGGCATGGAATGGCCGTTTAAGGGACAGCGGTAACCCAAAATTAAGAGTAATAAGGCTCTCGGTCTGTAACTTTTCAACAATCACCCAATCTCTAATCAGTTAATCAGTCTGAAGTTAATTTGATTTTTTTTTTCTTGGTAACATAAATCTTTCCTGAAGACCTTCTATGCTGGATGGGTGAGGAGGCTCCTGACCCCGGACCATTCTCCCAAGGCCTGAAGTCTTCCTGCAGCTGGATCCCCTGAACAACAACCTTGGTGCTGCAGGGCCGCAGGAATCTATCATAAGAACTCAGCTGGTTATGGCAAAGTCACTACCTGGAGGGATCAGGGAATTCCTCCAGAGGAAGCCAAATTCCAAGGAGCTTTTGGTGTTATTTGGCTTGTTATATATGAGATGTATTCTGTTATGAAAATCATGTGTGCCTTCATAGTTTTCCCAAATGACTTTTCCCTAAGAAGGGCTAACAGTGTGGACTGATCACTCTCTGGACATACACATTCCAAGTATTTGGAGAACAATCTCAGGAAAGGCCTTCTCTGGAATCAGGTATTTCCCTTAGCCACTTTCAAGGACTAACAGTGTTAACAGCCCACATGCAAGTCTCCTGACTTAAGGTAAATCCCACAAGAAGACACCACCTAGGTCAGGTAGACATTAAGTAATAGCTTTACACAATTTAGCTTGGACTTTCCTTTCTTAACTTCCTCCTTTCCCAAACCTTACCTCTAGTTCCAGATCTCCCTTTAATTATCACCAGAGGCATCTAGCTGTACTCTAGGGACTGAGCACACTTTCCCCCACCCTGCAGATAAACGGCAGATAGCTTGGACAGATAGGAGCCCCAGGAAAAAAGTAGGCAGTTTTATTTTCTCCCATTGACCTAGCAACTTACAGATTCTTAACATTTTCTACCAATCACGTTGAAGACTATAGTGGAGCACGTAAGATTCCCTCTTCTTAGATATTACCCGAATTTAGGCTTTAGTTAATTCATTTCCCCATTAGTCACTTCCCTTTTGGGCTGCAAATGATAATTAACAATTACTGCCCCTCTATGTGATTATCACCCCTCAGTTTGACCCTGGAAGCCTGGTGGTCACTATCTGAGGAAAATTCTTACCTGCCTTTATGACCCTGTAGAATTCAAGTCTGGTGACCTTACTCGACCAGAGGCTTGCTATTGCTTATTGTGCCCTGGGTGTGAGACCCCCGAAGAGACCACCAGAGACAGCAACTCACCGAAATGCAAAAACAAGGTTTATTTCAATTCAAGCCTCGGCAGGGACCTTGGTCGAATACCCCAGACATAGCAGAGGCTGGAGGAGGTGCCCACCCCTCTGCAAGCTTCATTTTTAAAGGCAAAAACCACAAGGTTACATCATTTAGGGGTGCAAGTAAGGGTACAATTCTAATTGACTCAAGTTTTAGGGGCTTTTCAAGAATTTCTGTGTTATCTTACTTTGTAGTTTTAACCATTTGTTTGTTAAACTTTATAGACTACCTCCGGCATTGGGGCATTCTGTGGTTAATCAATTGCTACCAGATAGTCCTTCAGACATCCTGACTTTGTCCTGGGACCTGTGTCAGCAGCTCTGAGAATTTTGAAACTCAGGCCTGTTTCAAGCTGGGGTGAGGGGCTTGCTTGGAATGGGGGTGCTTTGGTTCTTCAGGTTTATAACTGGATTCCTGGGAGACTTAGGTGGTATGTGGAGAAGGGAGAGATGGAGAACAGAGAGGGATAAGGAGAGCACATGTGGACGAGATGGAAGATGAGGAAGAGTCAGATGGGGAAGTACTAGCTGGGTAAGAACAAGGTGAAAAGGACCTAGATGAGGTAGAATTAAGACGAGAGAATTAAGATAGAACTTAGAGGGAACAGTAGATAAATAAAGAGAGAAATCAGGCAAGAAAGGAGCTAGACATGAGAGCAGAACAGAAGCTGTGTAGAGAGAGAACCATCACAGAATAATAAAGTGTATGGACTAAGAAGTTTCCTGTACATAGATTCATTTCTTTTCATCAAAGATTAATTATCAGCTGGTTGTAGATTCTTCCCAGACCCTGGGAGGGGACTATCGAGGGGCTTGGTAGTACTGGTAACTTACAGACATCAGTGGCTTGGGCCAGTTGTCACATTAAGAGGACAACAGGGAAATTCCTTCCTAATGACCACGTCAAGAAAATCTGAGGCCAATCAAATAATTGCTCGGCAATTATTCTGGTGGAGTTGAGGAGACTCAGAGGGGGCTTCAGAGCTATCCTGACATCCGTTGGCACCACAAGGGAGGAAGGAATGACATCTGCTGTACTGAAGAGGCTCGGTGTCCCGGAGTGCACTAGTCAGGATGGACACTGTTCAAAGAAATCTCATCTCTTTCATGAAGACTGAAACTGGCAGCCCGTTTGTCTTGAGGACATCAGTATGCCATCTGTATCTGCCTGCCTTTGCCACTGACCAGCAGGAAGGTGTAGAGATAAAAGATGGGTATTCTATGTCTCTCTTCCCTAGAGTCTGCCCTTCTCAGCTCCCCAGATGCTTACAAGCCCAGAGGACCAGCAGAGCCACTCCAGCTATGCAGATGGAACAGCAAATGATGCTTTCAGCACCAAGCCAAGGGGCCCATGGGTGCCTGGGAGGAGAGTGAGCAGTCCAGGGGTCTAGCCTTCCTCCCTGTGAAATGGCAGATTAATTTCTCCCAGCAAGAAGTCACTCCAAGCACCCAGAGATAAAGGGAGAAAGACTTTGAGCACTCAACCATAAACCTACCTGTTGCTCAAGGAGGCTTCTCCCCAAACAGAAATCTTCCATTGTTTATACAGATTTGAGCTATAACATTGTAGTCTTACACATGCTTTTACCTGCAGATGGCTTCAAAGGTTCCCACTGCAAGCTTGGGTCATTATTTAGGCAAATGGGAAGATTTACATGCAGAGATCCTATTGCAGCCATCTTTGAGACAGACCAGAGATGTTCTTCTAGGCAACTGTTAGTCAGGGTCATTGTCTTTGAACGGCCTGGCTGACCTGGGTTCTTCCTGTAGGAGGAATAGGGTTGAATGACCAGGCAGCCCCAGTGAACAAATTCCAAAAGGAACATATCCTTGGTGGATCGGAATTCTAATTCTGTTAGAAGCACATCTCTAGTTTCTGTATTTTTTTTTTTTTTACAATTTCTAAGAAGTCTGGTCAGGTGCTTCTTGCCTTACAGTTCCGTCTGAGACAATGCTCCTCCAGCTGAATTTTACTTCTGTGTGACAACATGTTCTGAGCAAGTTTATTGGTAAATCCTCTTAACATTAGTTTGCTGTTTTTATTTTCTTCTTTACCCACCGCCACCAAAAAAGCAGGAGACACAAAACTGGGAGTCGTGACCAAGTATTTTGGTCCCATAAATTCCTCCAGATAATGTGGTCCTGAATCTATCGAAGCCCATCTCGACTCAATTAGGAAGCTTGATGGTGGGTAATTTATCAGTGTTAACTGTCTGCTAATAGAAGCAGCAAATTAAAAAACAACAATAAAAAGTAATCAACACTTGGGAAACAGAGACAGAACAACTGCTGTCAGTTCAAGGTCATTCTCAATACACAGCCAGTCCCAGGCAGCCTGCAGCCCCCTTCCGGGTGTGTGCACTCTGCCTGCAGCGCCCCCTATAGTCCAATAGTCCAGATAGCAATCCAAGGACTGAAGCTTCCTCTCTACTTGGAGGGAGTTCACCACTGAGGCCGACATCTCCACCTGCCTTGCTCACTCTTTATATATATATAAAGAGTGTGTGTATGTTGTTCTCTGTATATATATATATAAAGAGTGTGTATGTGTGTGTGTATGTTGTTCTCAGGCAGGCCAGGGAACCCTCCATAAGTAAGCAAGACTCATTCCCAGAGTGGCTCCTGTAATACTGCATAGTGGATGCCCTCTGCATGCCCCAGATCAGCAGCAAACGGGGTTCTCCCTTCAGTTCTTCCTCGGTTCCACACTTTCCCTCCTTGACTGGGTCTCTGCAGAAGAAATCCCGATCATTGCAGGCCTTCCTAAGTGTCCAGGATGTGAGTTGCTCCGTATTTCCTAAAGTGAGTTGAATCCCCACATACACCTCTGCTTGGGTCTTTGTATTAGTTCCCATTCAGCAGAGAAACAGAACCAATAATATAAAGCCAGGGTGGGTATGTAGCTCAGTGTGTGTGCCTAGCATATGAAGCCTGGAGTTCCATCTTAAAAAAAGCAAAAAAAAAAAAAAAAAAAAAAAAAACAGGCCTGGAAGTACACAGCTATGATCCCAGCACTTGGAAAGTAGAAGCAGGAGAGACGGAAGGCATTTTTGTTTTGTTTCGAGACAGGGTTTCTCTGTGTAGCCCTGGCTGTCCTGGAACTCACTCTGTAGATCAGACTGGCCTCAAACTCAGTGATCCCCCTGCCTTTGCCTCTAGTGCTAGGAATAAAGGTGTGTGCTATCATTACCTGGTAAGTCAGAAGGTTTTATTTGGCTGTATGAGACACCCCCTCCCTCCTTCCCACCACACACCCACAAAGCTAACCATCTGACCATCTGTTCTAATTTTTCTGTTGTGATAGACACCATGAGCAAAATCATCTTGGGGGGGGGGTTGATTTCATTTTACAGGTTATAGCTCATCGTCACGTTAACTAAGGCAGGAGCCTGGAGACAGAACTGAAGCAGAAGCCAGATCCACCTGCCTAGCGATGATGTCACCCACAGCGACCGAGGCCCCCCTACATCTCTCTCACACACACACACACACACACACACACAGAATTCAGGAGGGATATCTGCTTAACTCAACCTCACACATACTAGGCTCACCCCACCCCCCAGCTATACTTCCAGCCCAGCCCCAGAAATACACCCCAGTATCTCTCTAAGCCTCAGTTCCCTTCCAGACATTCCAGATTGGAGAATTCAGCTCATTTAAGGAAATAAGGACCAATTCCCATTCCCTGACACGAAGGACTGCAAAGATCGAGATTTCTTCCTCTGTAGAGACTCATTCAAAACTATCAAGGAGGAAGCCAGGAAGGACCGGAGAGAGAACAGTTTGCTGGGGTCTGGGGGCAGACTCGGTATCTATCAGCTGTGCAGTGTTAAAAGGAGCCACTCTGGGAATGAATCTTACATCCTCATCAAGGGTTCCCTGGCCTGCCTGACACCCCCAGCTACTAACTGCGACGGCAGTGACACTCACCTCCAGCTGGCTCCACTTTTCTTGCGCCAATCAGTAAACAGCAAACAGGGCAGAGGGGACCCCACTTCTGCTTTGTAACTTTCTTGCAATCGTCCTAACTTCCTGAGGCAAGCTGTGAGCACTCCATCTGCACTGGAACGGGGAGATAAGGCTACTTCTACCTCAACGTGAGGCAGGACAGGATTAAAAATGATGGGGTATGTGAGGGAAAAGTGTGAGAAAGGTCTGGATTACTTGCTGCCTGTCGGGGAAACTTTGGGAACCACTGATAAAGCCAAAACTACTTCCAGAAAGGGTGTATGCTTTCCAAGAGAGGGCTTTTTAAGTTGGTATGTAAATCTTAAAAAACAAAAAAAGACAGTAAACTGCTTACTCAGGACCAAAATGACATCTAACCTTCAATTACCAGCATCAACTCTTTTCTTAATTCTAAAAATCCCTCATAAATCATCTCTCCAGCTTTGTTTTTTTTTTTAATTTTATTATTTTTAATTATGGGCATGTGTTGTGTGGGTATGTGCATGTATGTGCAGGCCAGAGGAGTTGGATCTCCTAGAACTGGAGTTATAAGTGGTAGAACATCAGGGATAGAACCTGATGTGGGTTCTAGGAATTGAACTCAGGACCTCTGGAAGAGTAGTGCAGGCTCTTAACCACTGAGCCATCTTTCCAGCTCCTGGAGCTTCGTTTTTACAGAAGAAAATTCTTTAAATTTTAACCTTTTTGTAAACTATAACTCTGAGCAATGTTTTTTGTTTTGTTTTGTTTTCAAAAAGGGGAGGGAGGTCCTTAGCAACCTGTAGAGATGTTGAGAGCCACCAAAATCTTATACTCATTGTAAAGAAATCTAATTTCTACTCTCCAAGAGAAGCCCACACTCATACTATTGGGGGTCTCTCCTTCCTCACTTTTCAGCATCTTTCTTTCTAATAATCCCTGTGATTAAGGTCTATATTAAAAACCGGGCAGTGGTGGCACACGTCTTTAATTCTAGCTCTCAGGAGGAAGAGGCAGGCGGATCTCCATGAGTTCAAGGCCAACCTGGTCTACATGAGCGAGTTCCAAGATAGCCACAGTGGTTACACAGAAAAACCATGTCTCGAGAAACTGAAAAAAAAAAAATCTATATTAAAGCCAGGTGTGGTGGCACACACCTTTAGTACCAGAACTTAGGAGGCAGAGGCAGTTGGATAAGCTTGGTCTACATAGTAAGTTCCAGGCCAGCCAGAGCTACATAGTGAGACCCTGTCTCAAAATGGGGAGAGACATCCCAGTGGTTAAGAGCATTAGCTGCTCTTCCAGAGGACCCAAATTCAATCCCAAGTACCCACATGGCAACTCAGCTCTCTGTAACTCTAATCTCAGGGAATCTGACACCCTCTTGTG